TATAGCAAGAATGGCCAACTCTCTATAAAAATCTCCCATAATGTATCTTTAAGTAAATCTTACATATTGTATCTTTAAACAGGGTTGGAGTTTAGTTGTGTCGCCAATAATTTGGAATGTGTTAACTCACTTTTTGATCCATAAGTACAAAAATTAGCTTCGGAAGTATATAATATGCCATGTTTTAATATCTTGCTTGTGACAAATCAAAAAAATAAACACTTTTTCAATGAACCCCAGTTAATGGCGCCATCTGGTAGCAAATTGTATAAGCTTTCTGTGGAATAATTAATTTCAGGTAAAAACGATCGGAGTCACATCGAACCAAGGCCCTTCTGAAATGGCCTCCTGGACAAATACGTCCATGGCACCCTTTATTTGACCTTAATTTGGCTGAAAAGTGGAAGTCAGTTGTTGTACTGGTAATTATGATTGATACTAAACATCATTTTGATGTTGTAATTTAACCCATTCGTTGTTCTGTTCACGACAAGCATTCTCGTCCAAAAGTCTGTTTTGCCTTTTATGCGAAAAGACAAAAACGTGACTAGGATCGTTCTTCCCCTGCACTCTTCATTTGTTTGTTTTTTTCTAAATGGTAACCCCAACCATTGATCTGTAATGCAGACGGCTGTAAATACACGCGTCGTGACGACAGCAAAAGAGTGGAATATAATCTTCCTATTATTAGTGGGGTGTGCTTACGAATTTGGAATTTATTTGGGTCTAAAAAGCGATTCACTGTTTTCTGAAACAAAAGCAATATGAGGGTAAGCAGGATTTTAAAAAGATAATGCTTAACTCTATTTGTCAAAACTTGGGGATAAAATGCTCTTAAATTGTGTTTAATTTTAGAAAGCAAATATTATTTTGTTTATTCACAAAAATAGTTTTCTAGTGTAAACAATTGGTATCCAAGGTGTACAAATTTGCAATAATTGAGTCATTTAAAAGTATATTTTACGTCAGCAACAAAATGCACATGATTACACATACATTATGCAAGAACTAAATCTGCCTTTTTGCAGGTCTTTATATAAACCATTAATTAAACATTTATTAACATGACCAGACCATAACCAACTATCAATGCCATCGGATATCTCCGATATGAAGTCGATTAGAACGGTTCAGCCATTTTTTTTAGTTAATTTTAAAATGGGGAAACGATGTTTAGCTTCGAACAACCAGTATGGTGGTTGCAATTAATGCACACATCCTGTCAAACCTTCAAAGGTTGGACAGGCGACCCTATTCCTTGTCACGTTCAACCGGGGAATCGAAACCACGCCAGTTGACTCAACGACAGACCTTATCATACAGCGCGCACGTGCTACCCCCCCCCCACACACACACACACACATACAGCTTGTATACTTCAGTATTGCAGATAAACAGATTTATTTGGCACAAACATATACAAAATGCACTCTTGATAATCGAGACCCAGACCCTCAATCAGTTTGGGGACGGTCAGAAGGCCGGTTTAGCGCGACTAATTTCTATACCATAGAACGCAAGTGCAATGACCTTGAAAAATCCGATGAAAAAAAATTGCAGTCTGTATCATTTATGTATCAAAAATATTATACCGGGTGACACAAAAAAAGCGTTCATCACCTAAACTTGAATAACGAAGAGGGGTCGTCAGGGACCTCCAGTGGTTCCAGCAGGATGGTGCCACCCCCCACACCTCAAACGAATCATTGGCATGGCTACAGCAGCGTTTTCCTGACCGACTGATCAGCCGCAGGTGTGACCCGGAGTGGTCGCCGCATTCACCGGACTTGAACGCCCCAGATTTTTATCTGTGGGGATACCTTAAGGACAGGGTGTATGGCAACAACCCCCAGACTATCCCTGATCTGAAGGCAGCAATCACAGCAGCAATAAAAGCGATACCAAGGGAAGAATGTGGGAGGGTCATCGAGAACTTTGCCCGCCGGATCTAAATGTGCTTGCAGCACCGGGGAGATCATTTAGAGCACATTTTTTGAGCGCCAGTTAAACAAAGAGTTTTTGTGGTACAGACTTGAAACTTTGGAGATGTCTGCTACATAGACTTAACCTAATGTAGCTGAATTTTTGTGTTAATCTAAATAAAATGTATTCGATTTTTTATTGATGAACGTTTTTTTGTGTCACCCTGTATAAGGGGTAAGTGTCTTTATGTATTGGAATCTAACAGCTAAGTAATATCAGGTTGTTATTTTATCATATTGGGTAGTATTTGATAAGTATTTGGTAGTATTGGGTTATTATTTGCTTGCTTGGGGTGATATAGGGAGGCAAATAGAACAGAAAGACATCTGCATTGCATTTGTAGTACATTTCCCGCGATACAACTCTCTATTAAAAAAAAAAGCAAATTATATGTCCATTTGGCATCATTATGTTGTAGTATTTGGTAGTGTATTGTGATATTGAAGTGGTATTGGGCGTATCGCCCCGCCGCTTTTTATTTGAACACTTCAGATATGTTTACGTTTAGAACTTAAGTTTGTTGATTATTAGTAAATATAAAGTATAATTCATATCTGTGAGGATCGGTTAGCCTAGTGCCCCTAAATACACCACGGTTTGTTCTATTTCTGAAGTTGTACTACATTGATGTCGGCGTTCAGATCACGTGAAGTAATTAGTCAATTAAATTATCTATACCGATTTATCATCGAAGGCCGAGAAATGAAACCCAATGTAGACTAAGTTTGATATACTTTCCATGTGGTATATATTGGGATTGGCTATGAATAGCACGGCATTTGGCCGAACACATCGTGGGTAAAAAAAAGTTGGTCATGCGTAGGTCCCACTGGGGAAAAATCATCGGCGATGTAGAAATATTTTTTGCTAAAAAAGACAGAGTAGTCCCATGAGAAAAGGCACATATCAGGCATCGGGGGAGAGAGAGAAATGGGGTTTAACGTCAACTCGACACAAACTAGGTCATTTTCGGACTAAGTTTCGGCTAATATTCGGGGATGCAACCCCGAGATCGGTAATGTGTCACCGAAAGGTCATCGAATTGTCATCGAACATTCGCCTGTCTTGATACTTCGGCTCGCGACGCTCCCGAAACTTTCCGAGGCTCATCCATTTCCATCGGGGCAAAATATCCCAGTGGGGTCTAAGCATTAGATTACAATGCAATGGCATTAATCAGAAAAAAACAAAACAAATTTGCAATCTACGTTTAATTGGATAGCCGGGCCGTGCTTTAAGAACAGCAAAATGTATGAAAAATAAATCAAATCATTTTAAGAAGTTTATCAATTCCCCCAATTATATCATGCAAATCATTTAACAAAGTGATGGCTTCGGCAATAGTGTTTTCAACTTGTTCTGCAAGTTTAATAAATTTCTGAGCTACATGGCTTTTAGTTATAGTTGTGAACGACGCAAAGAAATCCTCAAGGCTTTTAGGTATTATATTGAAATCACTGGCATTGCTCAGTAACGTGTTTGCTGTTCTTTTCGTGTCCTGGATTAGTCTCGCAAGTTTATGAGTTCTGGAAATAATTATCTTCAACCTTTCGTTTACAGACCATGTCGTTATACCTTCTAATTCACTACAAAATTTGACCTCCCATTCACCTAAACTGTTTCGTTGTTTGTGATCATTTTCAAATAATTTATTCATCTGTGTTGCTGTAACTGCTTCGATAATGCCGTGAAAGAGTGATGACCCAGTCCACGTGGCTGCTCCCGCAGCAGCTGCTAATAACGACGCACCGCCTGTAAAAGGTAATCCTGCAATACCAGCAGCCATTAGAAATAACCCTGCCCCTTTCCCATACCAAAATTTATTGGCTGTTTTATTTAGACTATTACTCTCGCTATTTAGCCTACCCACAACTTCTTTTCGATTGTCAATGACTTCATTCAACTTAGAACTATAATCACCAGTTGTCCTTTGCAGTCTGAAAAAAAAGAATCACTCAGGAATGATTAGGTTTAAAATAAAAATCAATATAAAGACGACGGTTTCTGAGTTATTTTAATAACGGTTTGCAAAACGGTCTAACTGTTATATCTATCTTTGCATTTCCACTTGTTGTTGTGCCTAGCTTTTATTAGTTTTATTTTTTTTATTATCTTAGCGTACGCGCAGGGGTCTTTCCTGTGGGAGAAATTGAGAAGGCATCCCTATCTCCAAGCCACAAACGCTCACACCAGGGATCGAAACCACAGCCGCAAGCCAGAAGTGACCGGCCAGCTAGAGGTCGAAGCGTGGCACTCTAGGCCACCCAACCCCCGACGAAATCGCGTTTGTTCTGCCCATTAACAACTTCATGGGACAATGGAAGACATGTATTCCAAAGGAACACGAAGTCTTAGCTTTACCCGAATATCGGTGTGGGGAGGTAGCTTTCGTGATCCATCATTACCATAATTGTTTCAGGATAAACTGCCAGTTAGGGGATGGAAATTCAAATGCCTGATGGGTGACGACAATAAACATTTAAACATACATTATGCAAGAGCTAAATCTGCCTATTAAAAATGGAGGAGCGAGACTTAGCTGCGAACAACCATTATGGTGGTTGAAATTATTGCACACGTCTTGTCAAACCTTCAAAAGCTAATATCTTCGCTCGCAATAGAGTAATTTGAATGAAATATTCAAATTATTCATTTTACATTATCTATTTTCGAACTATCATAGCAGGAATGCCTATCTCTTTATCTAAATCTTACATAATGTATCTTTAATAAGTGTATAATAATAAAACTACCTTTTTAATTGGGTCTCGCTTCTTGCTAGATCTGTTAATATAAAAGAATTGTTCTTCAATTAATCGAAACGTAAAATAGTTTACGCCTTACAAATTGACTGTCGAATTGAACACATTTAGTAAAGAGTTACTTTCAGAGTTCTGTCTTACTGTGAATTGACTGAAATATTAATATTGTCAAAACTATATGGTTTCGGTGTAATACTAAGAAAATTGGGCTGTTGGCTATAAGTGTTTCGATATCAGTATTTTAATAAAATTTACCTTCTCTTATTGTTGCCTTCCACAAGCTTAACGTCATTCTCAAGTCGTTTTTGCACTCTTGTGAAATACCGTAGAGGTTGACTTTCAGGTGAGTGCATGCATCTTCGTTACATGTTTGAATCGATGTACAGACAACTTTCTGTCCATCTGGGAACACAACTGAACAATCCTGCGGGCGTAGGGACGGAATTTTCAGCTGAATAATAAAAACACCACCATCGTTATTGCTCGAAAGTTCCACTATCACTGCTCTATGAAACCAACACGTGCCTTCCCTCTCGACACTGGCCACGATGGCTTTTTGTTGAATCTTGTTTGGTAGTATACAGGGAATGGTTTGGATGCACATGTTATAAGTTGGGCATTTGACAACAAAATTGTACTTCCCCACTGTTACTACAGTTTCCACACCTTCATGAATAAAAGTGTAGATAACCTGGTCAGCCTCGTGGGTCATAGAAAATGGCGTATAAACAAACACATCATCATCTTCAATAGCAGCAAAGGCTATGCCGGTATCAAGGCAATTTTCAGGAAAATAAGGTATTACAACTTTAACTGGTACTATTTTCAGTTGCGCATCTATGTGCTTCCCTGCAATATCAATTTTACATATTCCACCTTTTGGGCAATTGTATTCTGTAGCAGAAATCCTTCCAGTTAGATATCTTGTCGATGCCATATTCTGGGGGAAAAAAACAAAAATGAACGAATTTGCATCATATAATATAACATTAAGAATGACTTGTTTTTGTTCACGAAAATATTGCGAAAGCAATAAGAACAAGCTAACAGTGAGGCTGATGTCCCCAGCCGAAATCCAGAAATATTAGATGGCACACACATTAATAAAGTGCACGTTTATCAACTGATTATCAACTATACACTAAGTTTCATCACTCTCTATCAGAATCAAAAGTCAAACAAATTGCTTAGCTTTAGTGGGAAATGTTAATCACCTAATGAACATTAAAGGACAATATTGGTGCCAGTCATTATCACGTATGTGATAGAACTGGTTAAACACGTTCCAAATATTATTTTATCACAGAGATCATTGCTGCGATAGATGAATAATCTATGTTTCAACAATAGGAAGTTCTCAATGTAATGAAACTATACACCAAGTTTGATCACTCTCACTTAATCAGAACTAAAGTTATTGAGTTCCATAATATCAACCAATCAAATTGCTAAACTATGCTTACCCTAAGCAGAAAATGATCATCTTTGAAATCCATCAAGGCATCGACCTAATAAAAACCTACACCAAGTTTGAGCATTCTAGCTCATTTAGAAGGAGGGTTATTGTGTCCCAAAAAGTGTGAAGGTCAGACAGACGGACAGACAGATAGGCGGACGAACCCATTTTAATAGCCCCCTGCTTTCTTCGAAAGGCGGGTGACAATAAGCTTTCCTGGTGAATTTTAGGAGCATATTCCTAATATTTACATCACCCCGTGAATCACCGTGAATACACAAAACACTTACGAATGACTGAATGACACCTTATGATCATTGCGAATTTGTGGCGAATATCATACCTGGAGATGTCGGGTTCGCTCCCAGTGTTGGCCAAAAATGTTCCACGGTATTCTCCGACGTAGTTTCCCGATGTATTTGCAAGGATTATTAAGAAATTTCGCAAGCAATGATAAATATTTGTACAGCCTTATGTTTTTTCTCCGGGCCAATTTTGTCATTTTCGCCGAATTTTTCGCGAATTTCAATTTTTCATATTCGTCAGGATATTCCCCACTGTATGCAAAAAACAGGCGAGAGAATGAGTCGACAAATTTCTTAGTGCATAATTACTTACATATTATACAATTCATAAGTATTTTTTAATCAGCGGCTCATATTCGTGGGAGATATACCTATGTATCAAGTTTCATCAAAATCGGATAAAAACTGGGACCAGTAGACTGTCCGGACGGCAGGAGCGATATACGTCCACATGAAAATGTGGGCGGATATTAATGTCACTGTAAACTATCCGAACGACTAGCCAATGTCCTTAGCAGTCCCCGTCCTGTATCAATGACAATGGAGGGTGAACCACGCCGGAAGCTATCGGTTATATCATAGAAATATATTTCAATGGGTTACACAACATCGTCAGCCAGCACTGGCAAAACTAATAAGCTTGGAAATATTTCTTATATTATTAGTTCCGTCCCTGTTATTTGCAGAGGTTGCCGTTATTGTATTGAAAGGGCAGTGTCTAGTCTTTCGGATCGGACGAAAACATTTGGCAGCTGGAATTTGTAATAAGAGTAGGCCGTGGCGTCGGTGTCCGGGTTCATTTTCGCTCATAGCACACTGCATAGCGTATTTTTAGCGTATCACTCGCTTGACGCATCTTAAATAGTATATGGTTGAAAAAAATACTACCGCGAAGTTAGTCAGGTAGGCATAATGAAGGCATAAGAAATAGAAACTTCATCGCGATCCACATGAACAGATTATCCAGGTCTCCTTTAATTAATTGTAGCCCGGGATGTGTGGACCGACGGACGGAAATGGAGATCGCACAGTATACATCTATACTACGTAGGACGAGCGTGTAAAACTGCAGTTTCTTACCTTTATATTGTGCTGACTGGCCCCTCTTATGGTTAGTTTTCCAATACCGGATAGTTGACGGGGAAAGCATAAATATCACGATTAGCCCTGGGAATTCTTAGAAACAGCTGTGCTTAAACGAATGGTAATGTTACCTGGCGATATCCTGGTAACATATTAAATATTATGGTTAGACCTGGGAATTCTTAGAAACAGCTGTGAATCAACACCACAATGTTACCTGGGATATCCCATTACGTTATAGTCTCAATGAACCAGACACAATTTAAGTTTACAACAAATCAATAGAGTATTAATATTTGTGACATTGTCGAAGTCCTCTGGAACTTTATAAAATAAAAGAATACCTTTGACGATATCTTTTCAATTGAACATTTTAGAAAACAAATTACTTAAAATTTTATTTTGTCCACCATTACTTGGTCAAAATCTGAAATGTAAGTCAAACTAGCTTTCTGGTCCTGTAAAAATTTGATTATCGGGAACCTGGTTGCACAAGCCTACTAAACCCTCCTACTTGCTGTATTAAATATAGTACAGTTGACAATGTCGTTCTGTTAAATTTGTTGGTGAGATACGTCCAAGTTCAAGTGAAGAGACATATTTCTAAATAAAACTAACGGTAAGCACGAAGATCATAATATATGATTTGTAGATTATATGCTTTCTTTTTTATTATTAACTGGATAGTATTAAACAGAGCGTGGTTCCCCCTTGTCATTTAATTTATTAATGTATTTATTTATTTATTGTCAGGAACAAAACAAAACTGATGGATTGGAATCGACTAGAATTACAGTTAGGCATTCCTTTCCGAAGCAATGCGGTAAAGGACGTGATACAACAGTTGTGGAACAGAGTGGTCGCTGTTGAATGTCGTGGTGTAAAGGGCACTGGAATATTATTTCGAGCCAATAATAAGACTTACGTACAGACATGCTATCATGTAGTTGAAGACTCGGATGATATAGCCATTACAGTGTCGCATGAACGTAATTGCGAACAATCTATAGTAGTAGTTAGCAGTTTTCTGATTGGAAAATGTCGGTCCCAGGATAAAGCCATATACCGCATTGACATCCAACCATCATTTTTTCGAGATATGCCCGACTTGGGAGCAATAGTAGTTGATGTTAGATTACCTGGACCGCAATCATCTTTGTTGTGTATAAAGGGTTTGGTGGAATATTATAACGACGACAGGGGATACATGGTTCACTTTTATTGGAAAGCGTTTAATGGACAACCACCGAGCTCTTGTACTGTTACTTTTAGCGACAATTCCGTTGCAAATTGTGGATCCATTGAGACATGCTGTAACCCCGGTTGTTACCGTTCTCAAATTCTATGTAGTAAAATTCCATATACTACTCTAACCCTGTTTCATCGAACTTTGCCATGGAGGTCGGAGCAATATTCACCAGTAGTAATGATATCACACCCGAATGGTAACTATAAAGAGCACACGGTTGGAAGATATATGGGCATGGAAATGGGAAATAAAATCATGCCACATGCGGATTCTGGAACGCACATGGTTCTGCATGATGCCGAAACATCTCCCGGTTCAAGTGGTGGATGTGCTATAATTATAGGAAAGGAATCCTATAATCCTATTGGATATAATTCATACATTGGTATGCATATAGGACAACGTGATCGTAATGGTTATCGTTTTTGTTCCTTGGGACTGATCAACTGAACTTAATTGCTTTGTTCGTGTCAAATATATTTAATTGATCTCTTTACAAACAAATAGTTTTAAACTAAACCTAGATGTTACTTTAAGTTTATTCCAGATTTAAATTCAGGCAATGTTCATAGCGAATGACCAAATATTTATTTATATATATATATATATATATATATATATATATATATATATATATATATATATTAGCACAAATTATGTAGTTTCATTTTGCCAACACGTTTCATTTAAAAAGCAAATATTCCATGTTGGCAATCTGTTCCCTTCTATCCCCAAACTTCGAGTTGCAAATATGATTTTTTTTCCCATTTATAAGGTTCTAGCTTGACTATGTTATGGGTTATGCATTTTGGTGACTCGGTGACTTATATTGTGGAACTCTTGTAATAAAAAAAACATCACAGACTAATAAAACAAAATGCAAATTGTGTGGAGCACCATACAGAGAGATGAAGGGTCTAAGAAGATATTTTGGAATAGTTTTTAAATATCTCGTGTAACACTTTGGGTAAAATTACCACCGACATTTTTTTTTAATATCTTGTGGAGTGGAATGCTTATGGTTAACAGTTTGACACAAAAGAACGCAAATCTTATGATAAATGATTACGAAGAATAGTTACGTCTGATGTTATGGCGCTTGATTTAGAGGAAACTCTTTTGGAAGCTTTAGTGCAAAAGGACCGCCGCATTTGATTAATTTGAAATGGATACGCGGTGTTCATGATTTTCACCACATTATTTATGTTCATCATACGATTTCTGGTAGCTAGTTTACTGTCCGATTATTGTCCTTGATCACTTTTAAAATCACGTCAACTCAAGTTATCAACCGATTGACTTTAAAGATGGGTTCCCAGAAAAGTATTTATCGGGTGGTTATTTCCAATACAAGTATGCCAATTTGGGTATATATGGAAAGTAGAGATATCCAATCTTACTAGAAAAATACTGGATTCCCCGAAAGACACTCATGGAGCGTATATAGGACAAAAATGTAAGGGTTCCCTTAATCAACAGCCCGACGATTAGGAATTTCTGCCCGCATGATGTCAAAGGTCACACGCGAACATTGAGCGCTTGATGTACAAGTTGATAAACTTTATGAAGAGTTAGACGTACAACACTTTCTGAGATAAAAATGACGGAAAAAGACGCGAGTAGCGGATAATCCTAGAATTTAATAAGGATTCGATCTTTGTAATAAATAGTAAGCGATTAAAGACAACATCGTCTTATGTATGCAATGAATTCTCCTCTGACTTCCAAGAGAGGTAAGTCACGTAACGTAAACATGACCTGGTTTGATCGAATTTTTATAGTAGGGCATTCCTTCGCAAGTACAATGTTTGAGAAGGATTTGAAGCAAAATTATGACAAATTAATTAGCTTGGATATGTTTTTAGTCCATATATACCATTAAATCACCCAGTTTGTATGCGGGAATGTATCTTTATATTGAAACATGGTCTACTCAGTGATAGCATGGCCCTGGCGCAAGGAACAGTGTCTAATCTTTCGGACGAGACGCGAAAAACGAGGTACCGTATACACGTTGATGTGCACGTATAATAACCATTGAGAATTTATGGATTTTAGTGTGGGCTTATCATGTCGCCATCCTGTCCGTCGGTACGTCCGTTAACAATTGGCTTCCGAACGCGATAGACGCTACAATTTTTGATGGATTCTTTTCAAATTTGGTGTTAAGACTCCTATCGATCAACAACGTTCTGCGACCTTACTTACTTGAGTTATTCCCCTTTTTACGAAAACTTTGTGAAAGTTTTCGACTTTTTTCAAATTTGTTGTGAAGCATTGTGGTCATGAGAGGAGGAACCCGTTCGTTCCGTTCCAGATGTATTCCCCTTTGCAGGAAACCTGGTGAAAGCGATAGAGACTGTAGTTCTTAACAAATCATTTTGGTGGCAAGCATTGGGGTCATGATATGATGAACCCCATCGAATTATATTCAGCATTCTGCAACTTTCAGTCACGTGGTTACCCCCCCCCCCCATTCGCCCATTCTGAAAGCCTTTGTAACACGATAGAGGCTACTGTTTTAAACCGATTTGTTCAAATTTGATGGGCAGCACTGGGTTCACGGAAGAATGAAGCCTAGCACTATTCAGCGTTCAACGATTTCTTTCAACATTGATGTGAAGCATGTACCCTATAGATATTAGACATCCTGGGTTTCTTTCGGATAAGTTGCGGCTGAGATACTACTGCTTTATTGTCGCATTCCACGTTGTGCGTGGGGGGGGGTCGAATGGTTAGCGCGTGCGCGCTGTATCATAAAACCTTTCATTGAGTCAACTGGCGTGGTTTCGATTCTCCGGTTGTACGTGACAAGAGGTAGGGTCGCCAATCCAACCTCGTGGGTTTTCTCCGGGTCCTCTGGTTTCCTCCCTCTGTTAAAGACTACTATAACGCACAAGCGAATTGTAAAATTGAACCATGTTTTGTTTCGAAATGAACTAGTTTGTGTCGAGTGGACGTTAAACCTCATTTCCCTGTATCTCTCGCTTTACGTGGCCATCTTTTATAGTAGAATTCCCATATAGAATCTATATCGAGAATTTGAGTATGAAAATATGAGCGAAATAAATATAAATGGAGTATTCGATTAATAAAGATCTGTTACAACAAATACAAGAGTTTCTTGATTACAGTTTTATATAAAGCTCCGATACATACGATACAAGCATACATTAAAATAGATTACAATTAAGTCGTTCTCTCAATCCCAATCCACCCAGACTCGCTCTGCTGATAGACATTGCTACATCTTCTCCCTCTGGAATCAAACGGCTGTCTGGCGAATGTTCAGAGATATAATAGTCTTGTAGCTTTGGGTTTGGACCTTCAATTATCTAATTGGTCAAATATGACGTAATTAATTATAACGATTGGTTAATGAGTTTAATAACGTCGAAATCCAACCTTATTAAGGATAGTGGAAACTTATACCAGAGTTTCACATTTTTGTTATTAACCTAGAATTAAATGTTTACCAACTTTAACTCTTGTTATGTATCAAATTATCAATCAATTATTTGAGTGTATGAGATCTGACTTCCCTAAAATACATATATGTGAAGCATAATAATGTTTAAAGATATAATATAATGCTATTATTAATTTAAAGAGCAAAGATTCTGTCAATAGTCTTATACACAAGCCAGTTGTTGACGGGTAGTCAGGTGGGCAGTGAGGCAATTACGGCCACTATCGCGTTCACAGGGTTATCTCCGGAATGGACTCCCGCGGAACGATCAATATCTCCAGGTTCATCCTCTCATGACCCCATTGCTAAACACTAAATTTGAAACAAAAACAACATTTAACAAGCGTTTACAATGTTTTCGGATAATGGGGCATACCTCTCGAACTAAATACGCCCACGTTGAATGCGACAGTCGATTCTTGACGTGGATATTTGAGTTCAAAATGATATCCTTTCAGCCCCATTTTACAACTTTTCGTCTTCAGGGCAATTGTAAAACGTTGATAGTTAAGTGTACAAGTCATCCGGGATCTTTACTTTGAATTGTATATTAGTGATTTATTTGACCTACTAAATAACATAATAAAACAAGTGGACATCATTTAAATACATATGTCGTTACGCGCGAATACAGAAAACTTTCTTATGTTCAGCTTCTGTATGTCGGGTCACGCCAGGTTATCAGTCAGTTATAGTCAATGCAACACAGCTTCAGCACACATCTTTTATCTCATGGGATAAAAATGTACTGCCAATGTTCTTGACACTCATGGGGTCATTTTCAGATTAACGTGTATAGGGCCTGTTGTTTTACTTCAAAAATTCGCTTCAGCATAGCGAAGGGAATCAAGCGTGTTTAAGAAAAGTTATATCGCTTTGGACAGTATAATTGGGACATTTGTATAAGAAATAGTGTCTTTTGCGCCAACAGTATAATAATATAATATGGGATGGAATATTTCTTCGTAATGTTTATTAGGTTAATGTTTGGGGGCCCTTGTTAGTCTTGAATTTGCGTCGTTCTTGATGAATTGATATGTAAACAGTCTCTCGGGATTTATAGAAGTCCATATATACGTTTGCAAATAATCATATACTTTACCACTTAAATTCAGAGCCAGGTATGAGGTATGTCTAACATTTTAAATAGCTTTTTTTCAAAACGAAGCTGGTGTTATAATGAAACAGACGACATGGGTTATTGTGACCCTAACATGCTCTAACAAATTGAAGATTGACTGATTATGTTTAATTCACGGGAATATTAAATTATATTCAACAGCTATTATGACGAGGTTTATAGGTTAGGTAAATGATCTACTCAATGTTGTGTACTGTTAACGGTGACATAGCAACCTTCAAAATAGTGAACAATTATGTTATTCAGGAACAAGATGGGATAAGATTGGGTTACGAGACGTAAACAGTGCTAGCGCTAATCCCAACCTTAACCCTGGACCTAGCCCCAATACTTACCCCAACCCTGCAATCTCGCCAACAATCACCTGCCCAAACCTTATTTACATCTCAACGTCCTTGACAAAAATTGAGCTGACTTTAACAAATAAATTTAGCCAGTTTATTGTGACCATAAAACACAAAACAAACAAAAAACAACAGCTAACCCCGGGTAATCATATTTTGTGGGCAGACGTGACAAAGTGAAAAAAATTAACATAAATATATCTAGGAAAAATAAATTGAGCTGACTTTAACAAATAAATTTAGCCAGTTTATTGTGACCATAAAACACAAAACAAACAAAAAACAACAGCTAACCCCGGGTAATCATATTTTGTGGGCAGACGTGACAAAATGAAAAAAATTAACATAAATATATCTAGGGAAAATAAACCTTTTTGCCTTTTAATCGGCAAAATAACGAGCCCGAAATTCCTTGACATCAAAATTTGGGTCTGAAGTCACTTTGAATTGTGCGACAGTTTTCGGGCATCGAATAAATAATATTATAAATTTTTTTGTATTCCAAATTTCTTTAAATTGACTGATGTATAAAATATTTTAAATCCATGTAATGATAGTATGTAGCGCTACCCTATAGACTAGTCACTAAGCACAACATGTTTTTGGGCATCATCATTAGTTTCAACAATAACACTGCATCAGTCTGATTGATTGACTGACTGGTTAATTGGATGTCACATGGGCTATATTGGACCATTTTCAGGTTGCTGTAATCACGAACGCCAAAAAACAGAAAAATGCGTATAAGGCTGTCTTACTTTCATAATTTTCTGGGGAAGATATCGCCCCCAAGCCCCCACGAACTGAGCGAAATCTTTTTCGGACATCTCATCTCTGCTCCCTCTCCCGCAACGTCAGGAATTCAGGTCGGCCAAGAGTGGGATTGCAGTTCCAAAGCCACATAAATAAGGCTATATTGGACTACTTTTAACTTCCACTCGACAGTTGTTTGGGACTAACATTAGGCTAGTCAGACGAACCTTTTCCTCGTTGTCACATACAAGTTTGGAATCGAAAGCACCTCAACTTGACTCAATAACAGACCGTATGATCTAATTCACACGCCTTACACCATGCAGGAACTTACCCCCCACCACCACCATGGGAGGTATAGGTAATAATATTACCGAATACTTCGTTTAATTTGATTTAATCTAACTATAATCAATTCCTAAATAAATCGAAATACAGATACAAAGCAATTTAAATTGAACATCAGGTTCACATAATGAATTGGAATTAATTGCATACATGACATACCTTTAACTACATGTTGTAATCTAAAATCTTTTGGGACTTCCATATTGGGTCACAATTTTTATCCAATTTTAAAACCCGTTTAAATATATCACCGTTACACAATAATGATCATTAAGTTCGAATTTTGTAAAAATCGGATCGAAACTGTCCGACAAAATGGCCGCTCCTTGTACACAAACAGTGTAAAAGTGTGTAATACCAAGGTTGTGGACCCTCTAGAGGTCATTATATTTATCTGATTTTGATGAAACTTAAAGGAGCTAAATCGCTAACATTTGGGACCTAGAAATTGACAAAAGTGGGTCGCAACGCATATAATACTGTAATATGAATGTATATAAACTGATTTACATTCAATGGTTCCCGTTTTTACTCCAATTTCAAATCAGTTATGTTCGGCGAAATAAGCCAGCAGTCTCAAGCGAGTGCAAATTTCTAGCGTCTGGTTATTCCAGTCTACATACGCCGTTTGATTTGGTGCAATGTGTCTAGCCTCGTCCCTCGAGTCTCTTGATACAACTGGGGCTGAAGCGCATTATGGTACACGATTCGTGTACCAATGGTAAAATGTTTATTTAGTCTTAAATATTGGCTATCAAAAGCCCATCTTTTCCCGGTAAGATCACAACATGAATGTTGATTTGATTTGACAAATAAATCGTGTTTTCAATGTTGAAGATTTTGGATGATATTGAGTTAGAGACTTAGCTACTTTAAAATATGTTTATATCCCGATTATCTAGGTTCCTGTAGATATTAACGCATATCGGACCACAATTCCTGGATTATGGCCTCTGAAAGTGTTGCTATTCCATAAGTGTGTTATTTGATTATGTTCCAATTACTAAATGTCATTCAAAGAATATGGCAACCGCTTGTTGGTTTGTTTGGGTTTTTTTTTACTTCTATGAACAAATGGACATATTTCAAACACATCTGCTCTGGTATATTAGTTGGGTGTTACCTGTGTAACACTTAGTGATAACAGAGATCAGTTCATACATACAGGGTTTATTTACATCGGAACATAATATAAAACATCAATACGGTACATAAATATAGTATATGACTATATTTCAACCATTCCGCCCTTCTGCATCGGCAGCGGATGAACTCGGATTAGCCCGTTCGTCGGTCTCTGCTCGTCTCTCGTCTGCGTCTCTTCTCTGTCGGTAAACTGGTGGTTATATACCTTTCAGCTGGGTCTATAATCACGAGATCATTACTATATATGGCATTTAAAAGTTAACTTAATTTCGCTGACCGATATAAATATATACATGTGGAATTGACAGTCTTTAATTAACTTGTGCGTGTTAAGAACAATGTGTATAGTTAAAAAGCCGATATCGTATATTAATCGTATATTATATCAAAACCAGCTGGGGTCAATAGGTTCATGGATTTAAACAATTTCTTTAGACGGTTAAACGTTGAACTCCAAAACCCAGTAGTGATGAGCCTCATAGAACAACTTTGGAACAGAGTGGTTGCCATCCATTGCGAGGATGATGGAGGTAGTGGAATATTATTTCGAGTGGACGACAAGATTTATATGCGCTTAGAAACACTTCACGTGTAATGAAGCGCTATTATAAATCGAACAATAATAATAATAATAATAATATTCAGACGTGTTACCATGTCGTTACAAAATCGGACCGTATATTCATCAAGTTTTTATATAATAATGATGACGAGCCGTTTACGCTGCTAACAAACAGTGTTTTAATCGGAAAATGCAAGTCTCAAGATAAAGCTATTTCCATGGCAACCTTCATTTTTTAGAGAAATGCCCGACTTGGCTCCATTAGTAGCTAAGGTCAGATTCCCCGAACCGGACTTGTCCTTGTTGATTTTAAAAGGTTTGGTGTAATATTATAACGGCGATAAGGGATATACCATCCACTTCTATAGAAGACAATTCAATGGACAACCACCGAGTTCGCGTACTCTTACTTTTTACGACCGTTCCGTTCAAACTGGTAGATCTATTGAAGCATGTAGTGAATCAGGGTGTTACCGTGTTCGACTCCGTGATGATCAGATACCACTAGGAACAAAAGATCTCTTCATGCGACAATATAAATGGAGGCCCATTCAAGATCCCACAGTAGTGATGATATCACATCCCGATGATCAACCAAAAACGATCACACATGGACAATATTTGGGTATAAAAAAGGGAAATCAAATCGATCCCGATACTGACGAGGGGACTCATGTGATTATTCATAATGCAGAATCCTCAGATGGTTCAAGTGGTGGTTG